ACAGTTTCGTGGACTCTTACGACGAACCAACACGTTATGGCCGTGGCCGTTACAACCGCAAGATGCTCCCAGATATCGAACTATATCATTGGCGCAAAGGGTCTCAGTGGTTTGAAGTGAACCGTGAAATCGCTATTTACATCATCTCTGACTCGAAATACTACTCATTGTTCAAAAAATACTGCAGACCAGCTTGTTATCCAGACGAGCATTACATCCCAACTTTGTTGAACATGTTTCACGGTTCAGTGAACGCTAATAGAAGTGTGACATGGGTGGATTGGTCCGTAGGGGGTCCGCATCCAGCTACATATGGGGCAGATAATATCACAGAAGGGTTTTTACAATCAATAAGACAGACCGAGACTGATTGTCTTTACAATGAAGAGCCAACTTCTTTATGCTTCCTTTTTGCTCGGAAGTTCGCTCCTAGTGCCTTGGCTCCTCTTATGAACTTGAGCTCTACTGTCATGGGGTTTTGAGTGAACAGCTGACTTCTTTCTCTACTTTTATAGGGATGAGATAAGATTCTTCTACGAGATATACATAGGTTTTGATTCATTTTTTGTTATTAGTTCTTTGGTTATGATCTCATCATGTAAAGGTTGAGCCTTTTGTATGTAAGCCTTTTGCAGAGCTTAGCTATTCTAGTTATTGATTACCAACATCTAATTCTTTTTTCATCAACATTTTGGTAAAATGAAATGAAACGTTTGATCCAGTTTTTACTGAATTTGAACTCTATTACTCTTTAACAAAGTCAAGGGTGAAAAACGTATTATTATAAATTATGATGACGATCTTTAATAAGTAAAAGAGTTTGCAAAAATTGCGACCCACAAAAGAAAATGGCAAATTACAAAAGCTATTAAGTAATAAGGAAGATCAAAGATGGCAGAAAGAATAGCCAAGTTATCGAACTATTTGTTCAATTCAGCTACCTTTTTTTCTTCTCCATCTTGCCACTCATGGGAGGATCCTGGCTCCTGTTGTTGAGGAAGATGACCATTCTCAGGATTTGACCACGGTGTTTGATTAGCTACATGCCCTGACGTGGGATTTGACCACTGTGGTTGCTGATGGCTAGCTGTATGATTAGACCACGGCTGCTGCTGCTGCCCTGTCCACGCTGGCTGCTGGCCAGCTGTCTGATTATTCCACTGTTGCTGCTGGCCAGTCGACTGATTAGCCCATGGTTGCTGATGGCCAGTGTTCTGACTAGCCCATGGTTGTTGATGGCTCTGATTAGCCCACGGTTTCTGCTGGCCAGTTGCCTGGTTACCCCATGATTGATGATGCCCAGTATTCTGATTCCCCCACTGCTGCTGCTGGCCCGGTGTCTGATTAGCCCATGTTTGCTGATGCCCTGAAGGACTTGACCACCCCTGTTGCTGAGACCAAGATTGCTGCTGTTGATTCGACCATGATGGTGGCTGTTTACCTGCTGTCTGATTTGACCACGGTTGCTGCTGCTGGTTAGCCGAAGTGTTGGACCAAGACGGATTCTGACCATCATTAGCCTTGTAAGTTCCTCCTGCTGTCTGACCTGCAGTTCTATTGGCCAAACCTGAATTAGGAAACCCTGCTCCGTTGCTCGTCCATGGACCCCTGTCTCTAGGTTGCTGCGGAGCAGCAGATGTGGCTCCAAACACTGAGGATACACCAGGTGGAGTTCTACCCGATTGCCCAGAGTTTCTAACCGGACGAGTAACCGTATTCAAAGTTTTCTCAATCTCCTCGCGACGTCCAGCTTTCTCAAAAGTCTCTATAATAAACTCCCTCAGCACATGAGCAACCCCAACACCATACCCAACCATCTGACCAATTATATCCTTAGCTTCGTCAAGTGCACCACCATCACAAAGACCTCTAACCACCACATCATAAACCGAAGGATCCGGCTTAGGTTCCTTCTCTCCCATCTTACTCAAAACCTCCGCAGACTCCACAAGCTTACCATTCTCAATCAACACCCCAAACACCCTCGTACCAAACTCAGCAACCACCCTTAGATTCACATCAACCATCCTATTCAACATCTTCAACGCATCCTCAACCCTCTCCGCCTTAAGATAAGCATCAATCATCGCCCTATGACTCGGAGCATCAGGAGGCAAGGACTTCGCCACACCTTCCGCAAAAAACCTCTCAGCCTCTTCCAACATCCCCTCCTCACAGAACCTCGTCACAATATTACAATAACCTAAATAATCCATCACAAACGGCCTCGACGTCGGCTTCCTCCCAACCTTCTTAAAAGTCTCAATCGCCTCCTCAAACTCCCCCATCTTAAAACACTCATTAACCATAATACCAACAGTCTCGGAATTCACAGACAAAATATTAGGAGGAGTATGATTATCCAACATCTCATTAAACAAATCCCAAGCTTCACTCTTTTTACCATACTTTAAAAAAACACCCAACAGCACATTCCCTGTAGGTGGATGCATCCTAAACTTCTTATCCAACAAATCCTTATAACACTCCATAGCCTCCTTATCCTCCCCTTTCTCAAACCAATACTCCATAAAAGTCGCGTTAACAATCCCATCGTAAACAGTACACTTACTCTTCAACTCATCAAAAATCTCATTAGCCTTATCAAACTCCCCGAGATCCAAAAACCCCTTAATTAAATTATTATAAACCACCGAATCAGCTGCTTGGCCTTTACTCAACATCTCCCGTAACAAACTCCCCGCGTCCCCCATCCTCCCAACTTGAACCAAACCTTTCGTCAAATGTCTATACGTAACCGACGAAGGAGCGAAAGGAGAATTCGCAATTATGTAACGGTACAATTCGAGCGCCTCCTCCACGTGTCCTTCATCGCAATGCGCGTTGATGATCTGATTGTAACTGACGACGTTGGGGACGATGTTGGACTGTTTGAAGAAGTAATCGAACAGAGAGATGGATTCGGAGTAGCGCTTGGCTCTGTACATTGCGGCGATTATCGCGTTGCAGGTGAAGACGGTGGGGCGGGTGTTGGAGAAGACTGACTGGCGAGCGAGCTTGGACGCGGCGTCGAGATCCGAGGCTCTGATTAGGGATTGGACTCTGTTGTGGAGGTTGAGGCGCGGGCCGACGAGTGAGGAGGTTGAGTCGGGGAGGCGCGGGGCGTTGGGGTCGCGTTTTGGAGGGGGAGATGAAGGGTCGCGGCGGAGGGCGTGGAGTGGGGGTTCGATTCGGAGGCGGCGTTTGCGGCGGCGGCGTTCGGCTGCTGCTTCTTCGGCTGAGGAGAAGGATGCGGTTCGGTGGGGGATCGAGGGAGAGGGGATTGGATTGGGAGGGATCTGGGATTGGGATTGAGATTGATCGTTGGGTGGAAATGAGTTAGGGTCGGGGGAAGTTGAGATGTTGTAGAGGCGATTCGGGATGAGTGAGATCGGAGTGGAGGAAGAGAGACGGTGGAAAAGGGAGGAACGGCGAAGGAGATGAGAGAGAGACATGGCGGAGGAGGAAAAGGGTTTAGGGTTCTAGAGGGAGAGGGAAGCCGATACAAGACAGACAGTGTGGCTTAAACCCTTAGAATTGAAATGATTTATTTTTTTTTTCCGGAGAGAAATGAAGCTTAAACGACGTAGGTTTGTTTAGTGGGGATGTTAGGCGATACGTGTAATGGTATTCGAAAGAGGAGTAGAGAAGGCGTAAGATAAGGAGGTGTCAGGAGAAAGTAGGCATCGGTATTCAGATATTCGGTTCGGTTTCGGATATATCGGATAAATCATTCTTATATTCAATAGGTACTTAAGAAATTTCGGTTTCGTTTCGGTTTTAGTTTGATTTTGATTTTGTTCCGGGTACCCGTTTAATATATAAATCAAATATATATAATATATATAGAATATCTTATTTAATATGTTAATTTAAATAGTCTAGTATTTACATGCTTACATATTCGTCAATCTAACAAGAATTCAAATCAATAAAGTGTTAATCGTATAAATATTTATCGTATTTTAATATCGAAATACTATATATTTATAATATAGGAGAATAAATAAAACATAATGTGGTTTGGTGGTAAAAATGTACTTACTCTTTGTATTCAATTTGGGTTCAAATGGGTTTAATGTCATTTTATCTCATATTAAAAACTTTAACTTGTTTTTTCCGATGTTCGGATACCCGTTTGGTTTTCGGTTCGATTTTTTCGGATATAGAAATATAGGAACCATTCGGTTATTTAAGAATTTTGGTCCGGTTTTGGTTTCGGATATTTCAGTTCGGTTTTTTGGTTCCGGTCTTTTTTGCCAGGGCTAGGAGAAAGTGTACAAAGAGAATGTTTGTCATCTCCCTGCGTAAATTAAGGTTCTAACTGGTGACTATTAAAATAGGAATAGGAATAAGTAGGAAAATAATAAGTAGGAACAAAATAAAAGGAATAAAAAAGAATATTTATTACTTTGGTTCCATATCAATTTTGATAATTACATAATTCCTTAGAATTCAAGGAATAACAAGGAATCATACGCATGAAGTATTCCTTATGAATGGTGTATTTTTTAAGGAATAAGTAGGAATTGGTTATTCTCATTCGTTTTCTATGTTACCATTTATACCCTAAGACTGTGTTCGTTACTCTAGCTAAAATCAGTACTCTCTCTATCGATCTATCTTTGCAGGTTCAGTCATCTTAATAACTTACAAGACAATTGTCCGTCTTGGATTGTTGGATAATAACACAAGAAGGGCAATGTTATAATGATTTCAAGTTCAGAGTTTGATTAATCTTACAAATAACAAGCTACATTTGTCAAGTCTTTTGCTAGGAAAATTTCATGAGGCGCAGCATGCATAGCATTTACCACAAGTTAGACATACAACCCACGATTTGAAGTAAAGCAATAAGACTGGATTAATTTAAGACATTATTACAACAGGCTCTCTCTCGTGCAAGCTTATGGAAATCTCAGTTGTATTATCTTCATTAATTCTATAGAATAATCACCTTATGTTCACATGTTCAGTTACCAGATTTCATAATACGATGCTTAACAAATCAAACGAAAAGAAACCCACCAAATGAAAAACAATAAGACAGACAAGTGTCAAAGGATGTTTTGAAATGGTCTAGATTTTGACAAGAAACAAGGACAAGTGAATATACATCTGCTAATTCCTTTTCATGCTTAGGGATGAAAAAGCTGTATCAACTGCTTATAACGCAGTTTCTCTCCCATTGCAACACAAATCTGTTCTTCAATCAAATCAACTGAGTAAATCATCTCTGTCACAGAGTGCTCCACCTATGTGAGTAGCTACTCATTAACCTTCAAAAGCTTCTATAGTCAAATTATAAATATATATATATATATATACTCTGCAGTCATTATCCAGCCTGGATTCTAGTGTTCATTTCCATGAAATAGAAGGAAGCTTTCTCATCTAAAAGAAACTCCACCGTACCAACACCAATATAACCAATCGACGCTGCTGCTGCATCACCCATGGCTTTTCGCAACTCAGTGCAGCAGTAGGTGCTTCTTCCAACAACTTTTGGTTACGTCTCTGTGTGGTCAAAAGAAGATTTACAGAAATTACCAACATTTTTAAGTGGACAGTTTTTCTTGTGTTCTTAGTAGACCAATATAAAAATACTGGAAATGATACCTGGATGCTGCAGTCACGCTCGCAAAAGTGAACAACATTGCCAAATTTATCTGGCAAGAATCTAAAATCCAACAGCTGTGTGGATGAGAACAGTTGATACCACACTGAAGCTTTGTAACACTTCCGGGCATATTTAGTGATTTTCTCACAGGCACACTTCAAGCTTGTAACACAAGAAAGAGCTTGCATGTCAGCACGGCTCCTCGCTTAAACTACAAGTTACACTTCTTCTGCTTCAATATTATATTGAAAAGATAATGAGGTTGAAACATAAATAGCAGAAGATATTCTATGTTAGTTAACCGTGGAAGATTTGAAGCTTAAGGATAATAATGTTCCACATCATTTATCTTGAGACATATGGTTTACATTCTGGTCATACATAGGCGCCATGAAGGATTCAGAAACGCTTCAGTGACACCAATCCTCTTCTAGGGGTCAAAAACAAAGCATTTTCTTTACGAGTGTTTAAGAGGAAGCCCATGCAGGCAAAAAGGAAAGGCTCATAAATCTGAGGGGTTTATGATCAAACAATTGGTGGTAGGTTTTACCAAAAAAAAAAAAAAAATTGGTGGTAGGTATCATTATGATCACCCATTTTCTTCCAACCTATTATGTCAATGATGTAGCTCATCAAAACACTTTATGGTAAAGCATGTCTCAGGTATTTCAATACATAAACACAAAAAAAAAAAAAAAATACATAAACACACACAGATTTCCAACTAATCCACCATAACAAATTCAGCTTTTAATCATTATCTAAAACCAGACAAAGATCCTTTACAGCTGTTTACCCTTTACAAAAATTAGTATTACAGTCACTTAGTTAAGCATTATTCAAATGTTAAAGGATTGTCATTGTCTCAAACCATTGCATTTGCATGTATCTACCTAAAATAGAGTTAAGGTCACTACGTTAATGTTGAAAATATCTTGGAGACAGATATGGACGGGTGCTTACTTCAACTTGGACAAAAATTATTAAAGATAAAGAAAATACCGTTAACTTTTTTTGTTATTCAATTATCAGTCCAGTACAAATTTTTATTAATTCAACATTTATTTTGTTTTCTGGATTAGTCAGTGACAAAAACAATGCTGACGTTGTAAGGAAACATACAAATATTCAAATTTGAAATAGAAAATTTCCAAATTGTGTAGCTAATATATTTGCATATTTTGTTGTTTTATTTTTAAATCACATTCTGAATACAAAGACTTTCTGCCACAACTAAACTGGAATTTGGAATTTTTTGCTAAAAATTTCAAATTTAACAAACCTGTATTTTTTTGGTAAAAAAAAAACAAATTTGTATTAAGTGAATTTTTACTAAGTCTTGAGAAAAGCTTTGAAGGTAAGGAACGTATCATGTGTTTTAACTTTGTGGAGTTTTTAAAACTTGAAAATATGAATCTTCAAGTTTTTATTTGTATATTTTAGGGACACCAAAGATCGGAAAACCGGATAGGCCTTTGGAGGGAGAGGTAGTTTCAGACAGCAACCTGTTCTTGATTGTGTTTTTTTTTTTTTTTTTTTTTATGTTCTTGTTATTAATCAGTTAACTTGAGAGATCTTTAATTAACAGAGACCTGCTGGTACCAAAGTGTCTAATATGTTTGGTGGAACACGAGAAAAATGCGTTGGCTGTGACAAAACCGTTTATCCAATTGAGAAGGTAGATACAATCCAAAACCTTTATTATTAAAAATCAAATGCGTAAACCATAGCCAAAAACATTATAATATATTGTAAAACATGTGTAACTTGAATATTACTACTTGTTATGTGGATTCTATGAAGGTGTCCGTGAATGGGACATTGTACCACAAGAGCTGCTTCAAATGTACACATGGAGGATGCACGATAAGTCCTTCGAATTACATTGCTCACGAGGGGAAGCTTTATTGCAAGCATCATCATATTCAGCTGATCAAGGAGAAAGGAAATTTGAGTCAGCTTGAAGGAGGAGATAATGCCACTAAGGATAGAGTTGAGGCTTCTTGAAAAAGAAGAGTTCTCAATCTCTCTAGATGATTTTGACCATCAAAGAACCAATAGTGTCACATTTCATCTGGATGATTTTGTTTCTCCTTAAACTTGCTTTTGTTGTTGTTTCTTTTGGAAACTTTGTTGTCTCTCTTAAGGTGATCTGTTCACTCTTTGTTGAGTTTCTTGATATGAAACAAAACAAATAGAGAAATAATGTATGTTTGCTTAGGAGAATATACGTAACGTTTAAATAAATTCAATAATGTATGTCTCTTCTCAATCCATGTTCTTCGCTTTACATGCAGTGACTTCTCATACGTTCTCCTTTGTACATAAATTAATTTTTTTTTTTTCTACAATTCTAGGAGCTTGAGTTGTTACTTGGCATATAATTATTGTCCTAATACTTGCCCATTTACATTTTTTTTATTTTTAAAACACAAACATATACTCATACATATCTTGCAGAGTTCAGGCGTTGCAATATACCTGTTAGGGTCTTAGATAGTTATATTATTTCTGTGTTATCCCCTTAAGACAAAAGGTGGACGTGCCGGAGTGGTTATCGGGCATGACTAGAAATCATGTGGGCTTTGCCCGCGCAGGTTCGAATCCTGCCGTTCACGTTTTTTTTTTCCTTATTATACTTCTTTTGAACCGTGTATACCTCGAATTTTTGTTGTAAATGTTGTTTCCTTTTTGTCCAATCGTTGATTATTGCTTACTTTTAAATAATCTGTTATCAACTTATTTTTGAAAATTGAACAGAATAATATA